CTTCACGCTGAGGTTGTTCCACGTTACTCCCAACTTACGACTCTCCGCAGGGTCGTTGCCCTGCATCTGCTTCACCTGGCTTGCAAGTCTCCAACCGTCGACTCTTGTTCTGGCTGAGTCTGCGTCTGCACTTTCTTCTTCGTCTAATTGTTCCATCTCTTCATCGTGTCGTGACTTTCCAGAGAAAGTCCTAGAGAGTGTTCGCAACACTTCGTCCCCTGTGCCGGCTGGTATGCCACCGCTCCAAGCGGAGCTGCTCATTCTGCGCTCCACCATTATGTACGATGCCTCTGTGGGCGATTAAATTAGAGACAAATGTGTATGCAGCCGCTAGGAAATCGGCAAATGTTAGGAATAGAGCAATCGAAAGTATGATGCTTCCCCTCTACGGGTCAAGTCAACACTTATACTAGCATAGAGGGTGACAGTAAAGTGGAGCTTCTCGCGCAAGACCAGCCGTGCATGCCTCGATTGTACGAGGTCAAGGCTTTCTGACGCATGCATCTCAACTGCAGTACGTGCTGAGGGGGCACTGCTGGGAGGACACCGCGGGCACCGACCGTGATACACGATAGTGAGCCTCTAGGCTTCGGTGATGAATCCTGTGGTTGCTGATTGGTTGTCAAATTCGTCCGATTTGAGACATGTCGGGGGTCGGCATGTCGGAGCTCAAGAGGAAATCGATTTTTGTGCGGGAACCCTTGATTGCTGACTGATAAACACATCTTAACGCGTACTTCGGGCTTTCTACAGACCCTTGCTCATCTCCCCTTGACAAGCACGATTGAAGTCTTCTTCGAAAGTTCGGCCGATCATGTCATGTACCTACATAGGTAGACTTTAGTGCGTCTAGCGCTGAGGCTGTTGTGCGCATTCCTACTGACCATCATCAAGATTAAGGAGCATAACGTCGACGGCACAAGCTGGCAAGTCTTTTGAGATTTTATCGAAGGTGGCTCATCGGTTTGAAGACCGGCATTCTGGAAACCTGCCTTTGGCGACGGGGCAGTCTACCTGGTTGAATGTGACTTCGAGGAAGATGGTAATGCGCCTTACACAGTACGTCCGTAGAGGAAGATGCGATTGTGCTGACTCGGTACTGTAGATGACACAAAAGCAGATCTCGGTACGTTGCATAGCAATTTACCGAGGGCAGATTCGTCCAAGACTCCTAGTCCCTGCTCACTGATCTGAGGCATGGTTGTGTGTGTACTGTACCGTCCGAATTACACCCGGTCTAAAGTTGCTAGTTCAGAGCCGAAACTTTACATGGCAAGTGCCGAGTTACCGAGATGCCGCACCGCTCATGAGCATCCGGCGAGCTACGCAGTCCGAAGACCGAATATATAAATCAGCGAAACACACGCGGGCGCCGATAGGATAGTTGACTTGTGCGTGAAAACTCGTTGCTGACGCTGGTGAATTGGCGTTGTTGGGAGTTGTACGCACCAAAAACAGAAAAGATCAAGCTTATCGCGGACGAAATTCGATGCAGCGGCGTTCCGCTCTCGCAGAGTGTTCTATTGAGTTGCGTATTGTGGATGCATTTGGTTTTCGAGTGCATTCGGTGGGGATTTGTGTTTGGTGTGTTGAGACACGCTGAGCGACAACAGTGAAAAGGTACCAGGTAAAGTCTGTCGTCTACGAACCACCAAACGAATTGTAACCCATCCATAAACCAAGGCCTGCAGAACAGTAATGACCCGTGGCTACTCAGATTCAAGAAGATTTCCAGTCATAATTTTGACTAATTAGGTAAAGCCCAATCACGCAACCCAAGTCGCGACTCGCGTTAAGCAACGGTCAATGATTTCCGCGCGACCTTGTCAGCCTAATCTTCAAATAGATTTGAAGCCAACATGTAATGACGTATCAGAGCTTGCGTCCTCGAGTCTGTGTTTTCGTTCAAGCGCGCAAAATCCAGCGTGTTGTGGGATCTCACGTTGATGTGGGATATGCTAACGCCTCGACTCCTGAAGCAGTGCCTCCGCATCGTATCTAAACAACCCATGCCTTAGTCCTCAACGCCAATATCTTTCAATCCGCCTTGCCTGGTCCAAAAGATTAAAAGCGTTCTGCCAGCGTTCCTCTTTCAACCTTGAAGCCACTCTTCTACAGTGACTTCCTCATCCCCAGTTCGAATGGCACCATTTTTGATCTCCTTCCAATCCTTCATAGGACCTTTGTTGTAGCGATGATTTGCGCCACAAAAGTTAAGCCACGGTTCTTCAATTTCTCCGTTCGTTTGCTTCAGATGCTTGGAGTGACAGTCTTCACATACACAGTAGATCGCTGTTAGGGCAGATCACACAGTAATAGAAAGGCTGGGTCCATGAGTCAATGCTGGTCCCACACCCTCCATCACAGTGTATGATACATGTGGCAATGTCCTCGTTATGCTCGGCAAGCTCCGCTTCAGGGTGTTGCTCTTGCCCCACCGTCCCGTCGGACGAATTCTTGTCGGCAGCTGGAACTACGTTATCTTTCGTAAGGTCGTTTCGAATCCCGTCACTTCCGACAAATGGTTCTCTTGCCCCTGTAGACTCTGGTTCAGCATCTGCTTCGCCATCATTCCTATCAGAAAGCGTCTCCGATCCTTCGGACACAGTACCTTGTCTGTGTATCGCACGATTCAAGACGGAGAACTGGGCACTGATTGCAATTCTAGCATCCTTCTCCAAGCTGTCCAACGAAGCCAGGACCTCGGATAGTAGTCCCAGGCTTGACGAGTCGTTCCAGGAAACACTATCTTCGAGGCCGTGAGTGCAGTTTGCAAACAGCCCATCCATGTACTTTTGATACTCCCTCGCAGGACCCATAACTCGGAGCATGTTCGCCCGTAACATACTAACATGGGACTGTACCAGGTTTTCGTCGTTGTCATGAGCGCTAGGCAAAAGCCTGGGGTCTTCCATCAATGCTTCCTTCTTTGTTGGATCGGCAGACATCTGAAACTCACAAAAGAGAATGTCTGCGAGCTGCATCCGATGTTGTGTTTTTGTCTTGTTCATCTCGTTTTCGTTCCAAGGGTGCATCTTCGGTTTCATGGCCAGGATTTCCTGGCGTAGCGTTTCGCCTTTCTCGAGATCTCCTAACATCGGATAGTGTATGTCTGCAATTGCGCCTCGGAGAATGAACAGATAAAGGCTCTACCTTGGCAGGGTGGTGACCAAGGCTTTTAATCAGCCAAGTGGTAGATCGGTTTCGTTGGTTAGCTTTGCCGCTCTTTTCATACGGATCACAGCACTTTCGTACACCCAATCTTCAAAACAGTAGGAAACCCAACTGTTACGCTGCTGGTCGGTCCAACTCCTCAGGACCTCTGTCAGCTTCAACGTGGCTGCCTTATCCTCGCTTTTGAATAATAGCGTGATGTCATCCAAGGTTGACCCAGTCAGCGGTTGCTCGCCCGAAAGTCTCCTTGCTTCGTTGAATGTCTGCAAGGCGTCTTCGGGTTGCCCCATCGGGGAGAGCACCTGGGCTTTTGCAGTCAGAATCTCTACCCGTAATCAGTTGATACCATAGTCTTTAACTCCAAGTCAGACAATCCTTCTGTATCTAGATCCGGCAGCATGTTATTAGCTTGATCGTAGTACTTAATTGCTTCGGGCTCCTCGTTGATCCAACTATATCTTGGTGCTATAAGGCGAAGGGTCGCAACTTTTTCGAGGATATGTCGTTCCATGCGTTCAACCGCTCTCTTCAGATGTACGGCATCATTAGAGATCGAGCATCCGTGGTCAACGCCTTTTTGCGATGCAAGTCCGTGGTCATGGAGCCATAGTTAGCCAAGTAGACCCAATTGCTCTGAACGTTCGGTACCCATCGAGTGGGGTATCGTAGGATGACATAATTGAACGTATCAATTCGAGAGGCTCGTCGTCGTTTATCTCGAGACGACCCGCCTATGACGTAATAAAATACGCTTCAAAAGAGAAGAGGAGCTTACACAGGAAAGCGCAGCCTTGACGAACGAGAAGCTTTCAGGTATCCACATTTGGTCGTTGGCATACATAGTACAACCAACTATAGATATGACCTTCAGCCAACGGCAGCAAGACGTTGTCCCCGTTAACAGCAAGCGCCCATTTCTTGAATTGGTCATCCAGAGGTCCGTCTTCAAGTTTCGACGCCTTAGCAGCCCGCGTAAAAAGTGGGTCGAACCAAGCAGTGGGCGTGTCACCCGCTCGCTCAGGGTACATGTAACATGTCTGTATGCCTTGCCACCTTCTCCAATAGGTTGGCAATGTTGTTCTCATTTTCCGTAATGCGGCGAATTAGCGCGACCACCTGATCAACAGCTTCAGGTGTCGTGTTCTCTACGTGCAGCTCTTTGAGATGCTCATGCCAATATTGGATCGCGTAGAAGGAAAGCCCAAAGTTTGATATTTCGTCAGGATCTTTCGCTGCCTTCATCATGATATCAACATACATCTGAAATATCGTCAGGTGTGCAGCAGTTGCAGGCGTCCGGAATTTCTTTACACCATCATCTTTGACGTTCACGCTTTTGAAATGTTGCCGCAAGGACCGGTCTTGGAGAAGGATAGAGGAGAATGTCGGTATTCAAGTTCAGGCATGCTCTCGTCTTTCAGCTCATCGTTTTCATCAGCGACCTTCTCATCACCTTTTGCATCTTCCTCAGGCCGCCGTGTCTGGTTCAGTTCGAGATTCCGGGATAAATGGCCGATGATCTCTTCCTCAATATCGAATGTGTCATCAGACAGCGTGGGATGTAACCTTTTCCTATTATAGTTTACTAAACTTCCTGTCTATAGTGTGTTATTAGGCACTATGTTCAACTGCGTTACGATCCTTTTAGGTGAAAATCTTAGTCGTTAAGCGAGTAAGTGTTGGTGCAACTGCTCCACCCCACCAAGGGTAAATTCAAGCTAAGTAAAAAATCCTGCGGGTATTCATATAGGCTCCATGAATTTTGAAAGAATATTTACGATTGGCTTGTCAATCTTTACATCAATCACATGATAAATCCTTCACTCGCATCGGTGGTTTAGTGGTAAAATTAGCCGTTGCCATCTGATCCAGTTCTTCTGAGTTATTTGCAGTAGTTTCGGCTAGCCCCGGGTTCGATTCCCGGCCGATGCAGCTTTGATTTTTGGGCTTCTGGGGTTGTGGTGGTGGTTGTGGTGGTGGTGGTGTATATAGTAGTGCCCTGAGGCAGAGCTAGCACAGCTATCTGATCAGCCAAGGCGGCCAATAACTTTACAACGCGGTTTGCAGGAGCCTTTGTAGACTTGGCATGGCCTCCTTGTTTTTTTCTTCAATATCTGTACTATATCGATGCCATTGTGAACTTCGCTGGACATTCGGCACATGCAGAGTGCGGGACAACCAAGTGCGCTGCTAGTGGATCCCAGCACATGCTACTCACATTTGGAACTCCTGTGGTCTACCTGCCACAATGAACAGACTTGTAATATTGTTTCAGAAACTCTGAATTTTGTCGTCGGCTTTGTCTGAAAAGCTGATCTGGGCGTCATCATGCACGAGCAAACGTTGATCAAGCTCTCGTACTGTGTTGCACGGAATGTTTAGTTTACCCTACGGGAAAGTCATGAATCACCATACACTTGTTTAATATGATGAGCGCTGGTACCGTATTGACAAGGTTATACATACTGTATTTGCAGTGAGTATCGTATTCACAGTCCACGCATACACCTGGCAGTGATCGAAGAGATCATGAAATCAGGCGTATGACCATGAAACCAAGTTGGAAAGAGATGTCAATCGCATGTGTTCTGTGTAGGGAGATGTAGATTATCATATGACCTCTCCACGTGATTCTTCAAGTGTATAATGTCAGCGACCAAGTAGACAACTTCCACGGATTTGCGTATATCAAGAATTGACTCCAGTTTAAGAGCGTAGACAGTCAGCTTATGAAGAAGTAAGGAAACGACTTCTTCAAATAAGGCTAACAGCGTGAGGTCTTAGATACATACATAGCGTACACGTGAACATAAGACTATCGCATAAAGATATTACTCCACCATCCTCAAAACTCCAACGACGACCTCGACCGCCTAAACCTCCCATCCCCACTCCCCATATCCTTCTTGTCGCCCTCATACTAGTCGTTGGCGCAGTATCACCACTCATCCCCATAACCCCCAGATCACCCCTTCCTCCCACTAATCTCCCCTAAAAGTACACCCACCTCCTCCACCGTCTCACAAAACTCCTGCATCGCCTGTTCCAAGCCAGGAGCCTACACCCTCGTATTCCATACCTTGTAGCTGTGTCTCGGTGAGGTCGTTCAGCTTGGTGTGTTTGAGGGGCTTACCGACGGTGGTGCGGTGCGCGAGGTTTGCGGAGACGATTGCGGCGCGCCGGTTGAGAGCTGCGATGCGAGAGTGGAGGTTGAATGGGGTCGTGAGATGGGGAGACTGCAGGGGGTAGGAGTCATAAGAGGGGCCGATCTTGGATTGGTACATGTAGCCTTGGTCCCAGGCGTAGTTTTGTTGGCGCCGGGCGAGGGGGCGAGGTGGGTACATTGTTTTGCTGGAGGTGGGTTTTGAGATAAGATGAGATCTGGGGATTGAATCTCTAGAGCGTTACTTTATGGGAAGTTGAGTGTTCAGTGATTTAAGTGGACCGATTTATGGAAGACTTCGAAGAAGAAGACGGATGGATGCTCCAATATAGCCTGGACATACTTGTATCGAAGTCCAGATTGTTTGCAGATTGCATCAGTAGAGCAAATGTACCGGTTGAGCACCGGCTTGCCATGCCGCACGTTTGCCTCTGGTCGAAATGCACGCTATCGCGAGAGCAAGCATCTCAGCCCTGGTTTTCATTCGAAAGAATATAGCAAGGCAATAATCGGGGTTAAGCTGCTATGGAACGGTTAGTACACTGTCAAACAATATCTTCTCAACCGCATTCCGACTGGATCATTAAGAGATCGCGTCTTCTTTGAAAACGGCAAATGAACTGAGCTGACTGGTAGCTGAAACAAGGTGAATTATGCATTACCCACAGTCAAGCGCCTTGATGCTATCTGCTTCTCATGCAAACATATACACGCAGCAATTCAACACTGATCTTACAATATTGCTACATTCGCCCAGTAATGTTACACTAGCCGACATCGTTCCAAGGCATCCTTGGCGTAATCGTACATGGGTTTCTTCTGACCATCTTTCAATTTTTCGTCCAACACATCAACACCTTGGTCCAGAACTTGCTGAACTCTTGATTCGAACGTCTTGGCCTCGTCGGCCATGGGCATTTCAGCGCCAAGCGCGGTCCGCGATGTTTTCAGGGCGTTCCAGATAATCATGAGTTTGGCCGTTTGTTTAGCGGTGGAGAAATGGGACGTGATCATGTTCGCATGTTTTGGTTCACTCTTGCGACGGCTGAGAACCTCAGCTAAGCTGTCGAGTTTGGTCTGCACAAGACGATTAGAAAGCGGAGATCCATGTTAGGCGATAGAGCAGATTGACCTACCAAGTATTTGCTCTGCTTCAGTGCTGCAACAAGGCGATTGGCGAGCTTCTTCACTTCGGCTTTGTCGCCACCATGCTTTTGGGCAAGTACCGCGGCCAGCTCAGTGGGCAGGGCAATGACGACAGGATCACGCCTGTGGTCGGTGTCGGGCTGGGCACCATGATGCTCCTTGTCCTCCATGAGCTCGGTAACCTGCTTGGCCATGCGTAGCGCTTTGGTTGTCTCTTCCTGGTCCCAGTTGGCCTTTGCAGCCTTATCGTGGATGCATTTTAGCACTTGCGCAACGACATCGTGGTCGGTCAGCCGCAAGCCCGTGGCCTTGACACGCTGAAGGGCCTTGAGCACCAAGTGCTGCATGCCGGCATCACCGAGTTGCCTGACGACTAGTTCCTGCCATTGGGGCTTGGGCTGGAGTCCCGCACTCTGGAAGCCTTCGAGCAGTCTCACTACATTCTCCCAGTCCTCGGGGGTCTCGCTTTGCCGTACAATGTCACGCAGAGACTTGAAACGGTCGGGCAAGTGGTTGCGGTTGAGGGGTTCAAGGGGCAGCGTGACGTCGCCCAGTGTGACTTCCACGGGCTCGGCTTCGAGCTTGGCCTTGTTCTCCTGGGCATAAACCAACTTCTTCTGCTCCTTGTTGAGGTGCATTGGCAGCAGGACCTTGGAGTTGAATGTGGCGAGGAGGGGCGAAAGGGCAGGCGTCGACGGCTGAACAAAGACAGGAAGGGCGCCTGGAAGGAATCAGTCAGCACATGACGTACTGTGCGAAAGACGACTCTTATGGGCACTCTGGTGCTGCTCTTCGGAATCATGGCTATGGAGAGGGCAGACCTCGTGAGCATGCGGCGCTGCGGGACAAGGCACGCCGCTGGCCATGGACAAGTGCGCTTGTCAAATTTGGGTGTGCATGATAGCTTTGCGCCGCCGATTGGCAGCTTCTCCGCATTGAAAACATTCTATGTATTATGTGAGGCCTTTGCGCCTTCGCGTCGAAAACCTCATGAGATGAGCAACCGCGCCTTCACAAATTTGTGACAAACGCGACAAACGCGCCAAGCAACAACCATCCGGCCCAACCCCACTCCGCTGTCCGCTGTCCGCTGTCCGCTGTCCGCTGTCCGTCACGTGCCTTCGCCGTCCCACTGACTGAGCCACTCTGTACAGCCACAACCATCGTCTCCGCTAATGGCACGGCCACGTCCAAAAGGCTCTGGCTCTGGCTCTGGCTCTGACTCTGGCTTTGGCTGGCTCAAGCCCTGGGCCAAGTCACCCCAAACCATGGACACTGAACAAGCGGCCTTTTGGCTGTCGCAATTTATTGGCAAGAACCTGCGCATCCATGCCTCGGACGGACGCGTCTTTGCAGGCCAGATGAAGTGTACCGACAAGGTAGATGCAGTGTGCGGCCTCTGCAGACTCACTCTTTGACAAGTTTCAGGACCGCAACATCATTCTGGCCCTGGCACATGAGTATCGCGCGCCATCAGCCGACGTCATCCGCAAGACGGTGGAAGATTCGGGCAACCCTGCGGCCCAAGTCACTTGGAACAGTCGCTACGTTGGTCTGATTGTAGTGCCTGGTCACCACATTACCAAAATCGAGTACGAAGAAAGTACCCTTCCTGGACAGAAGAGCGGTGTCGTGTTATGACCCGCCTGCATGTAAAGAGTGGGATTCGAGAGCGTCATGCGAAGTTGGACACATATCATATTATCTACCCTTTGCTATGTTTGGAAACGAACTGAAGTTATCGAGCGCCACTTTCATGCATCTCACACCTGTGGCTTGACATTTGAGAGTAAAAGATGGCAATGGCTGATTATACTGCTAGACCACCGATGCGTCGAGCTTACACGCAGGACTAGCCAAATGGATCTGTGAGGCATGGCAAGGGCTAGGGTACAGCATCAAGACGCGGTGCCATGATCTCATTAGGCGGTAGCAAAAGACATGAACAGAAGCCTGTCAGCCACGACCGAGGGTAGTCTAACAGGGACTTGTGGTACCTGTCATTATTGAAAATCTCACACGCGTGAATACTAATTTGAAGTATTCTCATGAGTAGAAGTTGGAATATGATGAAGAAAGCTAGATATCAGTCACTAGATATTATGGCCATCTAGTATAATGTGCTTCTGCTACTTGTAGAACTCAAAGCGTTATGCGCGTTCTAGTCCAACCAATCATAATTCATTCTGACTCCGCACCCTCTTGCCACTACCATCCCTGGTCCCAATAGCTCATTCCTTCACCTACCATACCGAATCAAGTAGCGATAGATATCATCACCCCCAGCCACAATGCCCACCCCCAACCTCCCAACCAAAACCATCCTAATTACCGGCGCCTCCTCTGGCATCGGCCGCGCCACGGCCATAGAATTCGCCCGCAGCAGCCCCAACTCCCTCCGCCTCATTCTCACCGCGCGCCGAATCTTGCATCTCCACGCGCTGGCCCAGCAGATTGAGAACGAAGTCGGACCTGGCGTGAGAATTTGTGTGAGACGGCTCGATGTATCGGTGCCGGAGCAGGTGGCAAGTTTGATACCCGGGTTGCCGGAGGAGTTTAGGGGGGTTGGATGTGCTTGTCAATAATGCGTACGTATGTTAGGTGACTCTGGGTTTGTTAGAGT